AGCCATACTAGAAATGAAGCAACCCACAGACGTGGCTGGAGTCAGAAGAATCCTCGGAACAGTTAATTATCTTGCCAAGTTCCTTCCCCACCTCTCACAAGTATCTGAACCACTACGACAACTCACAAAAAAGAATCAGCCTTTCGATTGGGACAAATCGCATGACGCCGCTTTCACCCAAATAAAGAAATTGATCACAGAGCCGCCAGTCCTCAAGTACTACGAGTCGACCAAACCCCTGATAATACAGTGTGACGCTAGCGACCACGGCCTGGGGGCCGCACTCATTCAAGAGGGAAAGCCTGTCGCATTTGCCAGCCGAGCATTGACGCACGCGGAGAAACAATACGCTCAGATAGAAAAGGAACTGTTAGCTATAGTTTATGGAACCGAGCGTTTTCACCAGTATACATATGGCCGACCAGTCACAGTAGAATCAGACCACAAGCCGCTCGAAGTCATTCATCAGAAACCTCTGTCAGCAGCACCTAGACGTCTTCAAAAGATGATGATGAGATTACACCAATATGACTTAACCATCGTTTATAAGAAAGGGTCAGAGATGCTGCTAGCTGACACACTCAGTCGTCACCATTTAGACAACTCCACCGACGAAGCACGCAGCGTCGACAGCGATCTCGACCAAGTAGACAGTTTGGAAGAAATAAACGAAATACTAAATTGTGAAACAACAACCATATTCCAAGACCACACAACGAAAGATCAAGACCTACAGCAAGTCAAATCATTCATCCAGTCAGGATGGCCCGAGAGCTCCAAAGATCTATCTCCAGCAATCACCCCGTACTTCCATCTACGAGACGAACTAACAACACACGAGGGCCTCGTGTTTAGGGGAGACCGCGTCGTTATCCCAAAATCACTACGAAAGCAAGTACTGAATGAATTGCATGCAGCACACCAAGGGATCGCATCGACAAGTCGGCGAGCCAGAGAAACCGTCTACTGGCCACACCTGAACCAAGAATTGAAAGACCACATCTCACATTGCATCACCTGGGACACATTCAATTCCAAGCAGCCGAAAGAACCTCTCATCCCGCATGAAATACCAAAGAGAGCATGGGCAAAAATCGGTTGTGATATCTTTGAATTTGAAAAGAAATCGTATTTAGTAACAGTGGACTACTACTCGAACTTCTTCGAAGTTGACCGCCTTGAAAAATTGACATCACTGGCAGTCATAAAGAAACTAAAGCCCCATTTCGCCAGGTTCGGTATTCCAAATACACTCGTGACAGACAACGGCCCACAATTCATCAGTGATGACTTTCGAGACTTCTCTATGAAGTACCAATTTGAGCATATAACGACCAGTCCCTATCACCACCAATCCAACGGCAAAGCCGAATCTGCCGTCAAGCAAGCCAAACGAATAATTCGAACATGCAAATCATCAAACGATGACATTTACCTTGCCCTCCTTGCCCACCGAAACACCCCCCAAACAACTCATGAAACAAGTCCCGCACAGCGACTGTTTAACCGCCGTACAAAGACTCTCTTGCCCGTCTCGGAGAAGTTGCTCCAACCGAAGATAAATCCGCAAGCAAACAAACGCATCCAACAAAGACAACAGCTCCAAAAGAAATACCACGATCGTGGCGCAAAAGAGCTCAGCCCGTTGCGGAAAGGAGAAGTGGTGAGACTACAGCCAACCCGAATCGGCGAAAAGAAATGGAAGAGAGGGATAGTCGTACGCAAAGCCGGGATAAGATCATATGAAGTCCAATGCAAAGGGTATACCTATACTAGAAACAGAAAATTCATCCAACGATCAAGGTTACCTGCAGAATTCGGTAGTGACAACGCAGATGAAGAGATGTCAGACATGTCCGAAGCGGAAGAGACATTTCTGTACCTACTGACAATGATCTGCCCCAAGAAAACCCTCAACCAGCACACTTAGAACCATAGACGGATTTTCATATTTTTTACTGGGGTGGTGCCAGAAATTTTAGGGGGGTGAGCCGTGAGCAGGTGACTGAAGCAACACAAAGTGTCACCAAACCCCAGTAAGGTCTATATTCTAGGGGTGGAGCACTAGAGCCGCGAGGGGGAGTCTAGAGAGCAGAAAACAAAGTATCCCTGGAAAAATTTGAAAAAAATCATGATTTCTAGCTTCGAAAAAACGTTTTTTGAAGTTGTCATATCAATGGATTTGGCCTGTCCGATCAGGGCCGTAGCTAGCATGTATAGTTGGGGGGTGGGTGGTGTAGGCCAAATATTTCCGAATGACGAAAAAAATTTCCGAATATTTCATGGCATACGAAGCAACGAAGGTGTTTGCTATCTGGAAAATGAAGACGCAATTTACAAACAAAAATACACATAGCCCACATAGTTTCCACAAAGACATATTACAGAAGTATGCAGTGCCGTAGGAAGCTCTTTTTGATTGGGGGCTGGGAACGAGGGCCGAAGGCCCGAGGAAATTTTTTAATTTAGATTCTCTGAAATGCCATTTCCTGGACTTTGGGGGAAGTTTTGACAGAATTCTGATGGTCAGAAAACAGAGTTTTAATATGCAAGCTGAAAAGTGTGCCTGGCCACGGTGGGAGTCGAACCTGCGACCTTTGGGATACTAGTCCAATGCTCTCCCACCTGAGCTACGTGGTCAAGTCGGTTCGACTTGTTGATATTTCGGAACTGAATCTAGTTCCTTCGACATCAGTGTAATCTATGATATGATTTTTGTGTGTGTGTTGGTGTTGTGTACTCAAGTGAATATGATGTTTGTGATGTTACTCTGAGTATGCATCCACTGATCCACACCGGGCAAGCTGAAAAGTTAGCTTGCCCACGGTGGAAATTAAACCCGCGACCTTTGGGATGCTAGTCCAATGCTCTGCCAACTGAGCTACGTGGTAAAGTCGGTTTGAGTTGTTAATAGAGTTTTAGTATGTCGAAATTTACAATTTGCTTACAATTTAGCAGAATTAAATGGGCGAAGTCGTATTTAGCTATATATTGGAGAAGTTGCAGGAAAGAGTATGGGTTATATAATTCTTTGCGGTTTGTCATGGATAATGTAGCCGCTTAAAATTAATCAATTGTTTAAATGATAAAGGTGTGCATGATTTTGAAAAAAGACTGATTATCAGCAAATTATTGTAAGGGTGCTGCCTCCCCCCCCCCGGTTGCTACGGCCCTGAGAAGTACTGAAACCGAAAAAAATTTACCGATTTACGATTTGTTAAACGTTATCCATGTAAATGCCGTGATTTCGTAAATCATTTTATACTGATTATAATATTATAATATTTTTCCTGTTTAATTAAACAACTAAAATTTTGTTATACTATTATTGCCGTAATTTTCCGAATGGCCAACCCGATTTTCCAAATATGTTAATTCTACAAAAGTTGGGGGGTGAACCACCCCCCCCCCCCAACACCCCCTCGCTACGGCCCTGCGTCTGATTGTCTGTTGAGACTTGAGAGAGTTAAAGTTAAATGAACCTGTAAAAGTGTAAACCCAATAGGCCAATATACAATATGCTTTTACTGTTATAAACAAATTAAAAAATTAAAAAGAATTAAAAACGAATTACAAACCTAAAAGAATTAAAAACGAAAAACAATGTTTGTAAAAATTCCAAACGTTCCTTGCAAGCAAGCTATTTGCATGACAAGGCATTGCAAACTCTATTCAGGGGAGATAATAGAGTTTCAAAACTTTACAATTGCTCCAATAATATTGCTTTCTATTTGAGTGTACTCCTACGTTTATTTTGTATCATCAACACTCTGCACGTTGGAGTGGATTATTTAATTTTTTTTTTATTATGCCGAATATTGGGGAGGGGGGGTTGAAATTTTTTTTGGAGGGGTGGACATTTTGTTTGGGGGGGTTATAGCTCATATTGGGGGGGGGGGTAGCACCCCCCTGCACCCCCCACAAAATCCGTCTATGCTTAGAACGCAATGAAACAAGTACCGAAACAAGTTCTACAAGCAAAACACGTAGTGGACGGTTAGTTAAAAAAACCTGACAGGCTAGGTATAGACACATAAGGGAACGCGGTATATATATACGGTATATTTATAAAGAAAAAACTTTCAGAGAAGAGGAGATGTTGGACATTTACTGTTGACATTAATATTTTAGTTATATTTGCTCGGACAGGGAAAACTGGGAAGGAACGAAAAGGGCGCGAAAATAGTTGTAGGACACGGGATTTTAGAGATAGAGTATATACATGTTAGGAGTTTATAATATGCGAATTATACTATAAGAAATAAAACTATCAAAAGTTAATGAAAGTGAGAAGCAAATAACACTGAGTGAAATGAATTATTATTTCTGTGTTCTTACGACAGTTTTTCCCTTGAGATCCTACCTAGCCGAACTGGCTCGTTTCTCATATATGAACACAAATTGAACTTTATATGTGTTAGCAAAGGGCATGTATAGATCTCACTCAGACGAGTTTTCCTTTCAGTTGGGCTCATACTGTATGAACACACCCTTATACAATATGTGCTTAATATTTGATTCTTCTGCTATAAAACATACTTTCCTTGGCTCTCTATATCCTCTGTTCTCTTCTCTATATCCTCTGTTCTCTTCTCTATATCCTCTGTTCTCCTCTCTATATCCTTTGTTCTCCTCTCTATATCCCCTGTTCTCCTCTCTATATCCTCTGTTCTCCTCTCTATGTCCTTTGTTCTCTTCTCTATGTCCATGATTGCCGTTTGAATCTGCAAAGGAACATGATAGAGAATTACGTCAAAGATAAAATATGACACGAATATTTTTGTTATTGTTCCATAAGTAAGGTAAGGTAAACTTTATTTAAGTTCCCTTCAATGTGAGGGTAAAATTTAAAATTACAAAGCTAAGCCTAAGGATACAAATTTAAAATTACGTGCTGAACTAAGTGTATTACAAATGAAATTATAGAAGTAAAGTAATCTCGAAGAATCGCGACGCGTTGTCGAATCGCGTCCGGTGTGTCTCGGCCTTTAAACCAAATTCGGCGCAAGGCGGCGTGATATTGTTTTGGTCATGTTTCCACATTTCGTATTTTCGCAGCAAGACGTCATGATGTTGACATGATTTCATTTTCATATCAACTTTATGATGTCATACCGTTGATATGATTTTTTCGTATCAACGTTATGACGTCACTGCGTTGAATATTATGTCAAAATTCCATATTTGGTCAGTTATTGAGTTTCCACAGTTGGCTGTTAGCCAATCAGAAACCATGCATGCATGAATTCTTTTAAATAAATTAAATAAAATATTATACTATTTACTAGAGGTGTGCATCGGACGTTTATAATCCGACAATTACTTAATGTTTAAAATCCGATCCGATCCGATATTGTCTAATCCGAATCCAATCCGAGTTTTGATAGAGAATTCCGATTCGATCCGAAGAATCCTTTAATAAAATAAATTTCTCATTCAAGTTGAAATATTTAACCAAATAAATATGAAAGCAAGAAATACATGTCAAGAAGCTGACAAAGTGACGTCCAATTGAAGTGTCAAACGAATAATGTAGCGACAACCGCGATAATGCTTGGATAAAAGCACATGGATAATTAATTCTTGCGATAATGCGTGGATAATTAATTCATTTTATTTCGAATATCGAAGTCCGATCCGATTACGAAACAACTTTATCAATCCGATCCGATATGTATATTTTTGTTCCGAAATCCGAACGAATCCGATCGGATTTGTACACCTCTACTATTTACACACAAAAACGTCAAGAACTTACCATTGTCGCGCCTTTCTCCACTCTTAACAAAGCTACAAACAGGCAACAATTTCAGTTACACAAACATTTATTTAATAACAAAAAATTATGTATTTACTGTATGTTGGTAGAGATGGGGCACTGGCCTTTAAAGGACGTTAAAATTGCTTAGAAAATATATTTAATGTTTTTGAAATAGGAAAGTCTTGTGAAAGTTGAATAACGAAGCCGCACGTATCGGATGCGACCAAATTACAAGACGCTCGGAATGAGCCGAATTCTTTTCCATAACACTCCAGAGCGAAGTTATTTTTAGACGGTAGTTTTTATATGGCATCGTGTTCAAGCCGTTTTCCACTTCAACCGTATCGCATCGAAACGTACTGTTGAGCATGCGTAGATTGAAGATAGGATGATAAGTTTACAATTTTTTGTTGGCATCCAGGGACAAAACTTAAGGGGGGTATGGGTGTGTGTGGCACCCCCCCCCCCCCAAAAAAAAAATGATAGAATGTAGAGTTATTAAGTAACTTATTACAGCTAGCAAACAATAAGCAGTTCCTATGCGTACATTCCTATACAAAAAAAAACGCTATGGAATCAATGCTAAACAATCAATTTTTACATAGGACGAAAGAGCTGTTATCTAGCTTTTCTATGATACCTTTCTTAAACCGTAACGATGATAAATGGCCATATACTCGTCCAATAAAACTTTTCGGTCGAAATCACATTCTTCCACCGTTGGGAATTAAAAATACATTAGTTATGCAAAGTTAATCAATCCAAAAACAACGTATTTGTTTCGTAAAACGTTTTGATTACGAATGTTCTCTGTTCAGTGGTTAATTGAACCATGTTTAATGAATAATGGACGTTCTTATGGTCTCACTAAAACGAAGATTGACGAGTTGAGCTTATTTTAGATAATTAAACATTCAATTTTAATTCCCTCTTGGGAATTATTTATGTTTCGTTTTCCATGCTATTCCCAACGGTGGAAGAATGTAATTTCGACAGCCAATTTTTATTTGACGAGTGTGTGGCCATTTCTCATCGTTACGATTTAAAAAAAGTATCATTGAAAAGCTAAATAACTGTTCTTTCGTCCTATGTAAAAATTGAATTGTTTAGCCACGTTTATGATGCACGACAGCCTGTTGAATTTCTGTAGCGTTTTTTTTCAGACACCTTGTATATACATGAAGTCGTGGTTAGAGCTCGACAACTGAGTTCAACAACCGGTGTGTATCGAAAACTGAACAGACAACGGCAAAATGTATCTATTTGTTAACTGCATACCGTGATGAATATTTGTACTCACTTGCTATGGTACATTTCCCTCATTTCTGCTGCATACGTTGACTGTAGTGGCTGAAAAAGATACAAAACACATTCTACTCACTAAGAGGTGCTATAGCAAAGAGATACTTTTGAAAATTAATTTTTCAACTAAATTTTATTCTGTCTTAAAAATTACTAAATTCAGAATATTGTATACCTTTTTTTCGACAAGCGTTGTTAATTCTTGGTCAGATAAATTGTCCTGAAAATTTGAAAAATACTGTAAAGGCACTGATCACTTCACTGGAAAAAAATAGTCACCGCAATTGCATCACTAAAGGGACCGGTCGTTATTTATGGCCGGGGGTGGCAGCAAAGAGAAAAAGGTTGGGTAAAACCCCACAATTTTCTGAAAGTTGTAATTGCTCAATTTACCCAAATAAGGTCCATACCACTGGGGAAAAAATGTGAAATCCATACCATGAAATTTGCAATTGCACCACTAAATCCATTGTACATATATCCATACTATTTCCATACTACTGTATATCCATACTATTTCCATACTACTGTATAACCATAGTATGGAAATATACAATTATTATGGATAATCAAAATCCATTCAATTTCCAATAAAAGTCCATACAATTTCCATTCTATGACCTTCTATGGATTTTCAAAATTTTTTCCAGTGTACTCACAAAGGTTGGCTACAGTAAAATATTTTAAAGTTTGAGGCTTGATATTATACCATACCTTTGCCACCTTCTTTTCTGATGTCCTGGCTCTCTTAAATTCTCTGCTGACTGATGTTTTTGATATTTTAACACACTATGGTAATGAAGTAATATATAGAACATGAATGGCTGTGTTGCATCAGATATACATTTACCAGGCTTCATATGGAGGAATTTACATTTCTCAAATCTTACCCCAGAAGCAACTAACATCTCTGCTTTCCTTTTGGCATCTTCAGGAGTAATACTTGGAGTTGGAACGGATTCTAATTAGATAATTAATACATCAATACTTTTTTATAAATTACAACCATGGCCAGATTTCGAGGGGAGCTGGGCACCTCCCTTGAGATCGTTTCGCACCTCTCTTTGGGAAAGGTTTTATTATCGAAAGAACAATCTGACAAATATTTAAGTGTTGCTTAGGGTGATAGCCATTCATCTCTGTGTCAAACACCCTTTTAATTCAAACTTTTTAGTGATGTAATGAAAGGCAAAATTGGATGTACAACATATGTACAGTACATGCATATATGCATATGACCAGGGCTCAAAATAACGGGAGATACAGTAGGTCTCCGGTCAATGGTTATAATGGTACTGTATATTGATAATTGCCATAATTCCATTATAATTCAATAACATTAATGTGAAAAAATAAGCTTAACATAATCCATTAATGGTTTACTCTTTTCAAAATGTATTTCCCATTAAAACCATTCAGATTATTGAAAACCATTGATGTGAAAATAATACACAATTTCCATCAACTTTATTTTTCTACAGGCTGTCAGAATTTTGATTCACATTAATAGTACCCAGGGGAATATCTACCAGTGGGGTGCAATGGGGTGTACACCTCCCCCCCCCCCCAGTGATGTCCAGCACTCCCTTGAAGAAAACTCTAGTATTCCATATTTGAGTTGTGAATACTACTTATTTTTCACCCTGCTCGGTTTCCTTTGTTCTTAGCGGGAAATATATTCAATATTCCCCTCTAATCAATTTCCGTTTAATTAATAATCCCCTCTAATATTCACCTACAATGTCTTTGCAGCACAAAAAATGAGAAAAAAACAACATTACGAAGGCAATATGGCATTAAGAATTATTTCTATTCTGACTCATTAACGTGAACTCGCAATGTGAAAAATAAGTACGTTATTTTGAGGCACCTCGGGGATATGTGTTTATATCCCCTCGTTGCCTCAAAATAACCTATACTTATTATATTGGGATTTGAAACCTTTTACTTTTGAATATGCGAAATACAAGTACTGTGAGGGCAAATTTAATGAATAAACATTAAGTAGTTTTCAGAATGCAGGAAATGGCATTTCAGGGCTTTAAATTTCAAAAACCTACACCCCCTCTACCAAATCAGGCCAGATCTGCCCCTGATGGTAAAATTAATGGTTTCATTTAAATACCACCAAATACACATTTTGTTGTCAATATTCATTAATTAATAGCAATTAACATTATGTAATATAAATAAAACCAATTTTTATCATTCATATAGTAAATCACGATGATGTAATATAATCATCATGAATATATTCATACCATTCATGGCGACACTATAATTACGACATCAATATCAGTATTATAAAACCCAGTAATGGTTTAGAAAAAGAAACCATTAATGGTACTGTAATTATTCGCCTTATTCATTGATGGGTTTTGCAAATGGATATAGTATTATTCCCCATCTTCAAAACCATTAATGTTTTTGTAAAAAGATATATATATATATATATATATATATATATATATATATATATATATATATATATATATATATATATATATATATATATATATATATATATATATATATATATATATATATATATATATATATATATATATATATATACACAAGAAAAAGTCGAGGATCGACTTCATGTGCTTGGCACAAAACCTACCCACTCATGTTGACCAAAGATTGTGTTTGGGAACATGAATACCATATAAACAAGACCCCTTATCCCACAAATGTAAATACACTACTTACCTCGTTTTACAGTTGGCTTTACTTTAGTTTCTGCTTTTTCTTTCAACTTTTTCAGCAACTTTTTCTGTTAGACAAAATATAAAAATATATTTACTGTATGTATATGATACAACTATATATATTATACACTACAGATAGTAATGTCTTGTCAACCCTGTTAAGGTAAATTCCGACAGGCAACATGGCAACATATATGACTTGAAATATAGCGACATTGGACACAATCTCTGTCTAAATTGTGACAGGGACACAAGAAAGGAGGAAGAAAATAATGAAATTCCGAAAGTGACATAGCAATGTTTTGAAGCAGTGACATTGCTTGTTTTGAAATCAGACGAGTGACATGCACACCCGTCAATACTGACAGACGAAACACAACAAATTCATTCTATTAAATTAACAAGTTAGATATATTTTCTACATATATTGTTAATATTTTTTAATTATTTCGAGGCACGCTCGTGATTTCGAAGAAACTAAATACATGCTCATTTAGACGTTTTCCAAATCGCAATCTGTCTGACCGCATTTTAATAGCTTCAAATATTCAGAACTTTGTTCTTTCAGTCACAAGTAGTACAAGTATTATTACATTCAATCACTATGAATCATTGGTAGTATTTTATTTGGCTTTACATTTGTATGTATTGATTATTAACTCTTAATCTATTATCTGGAGAATTCTAATTAATATTTAATATATTGTGCAGCCTGCTAATGCTTCGTATTACTGTTATATACATTTCTTCGTTGCACATACGCCCCTGCGTCAATTTGACAGTTTATTTATCGCAGTCGACGCTGATTGGTTTGTGTTTAGCAGATGTGAAAAGGGGGTGATTGAATAAAATGCATGGTTCCGTGCAGGCTCACCTTTCTCCCAGTGAGGCTGTTCGCAGGCTACTTTTGGTCCTTTGAAAAAATTGGGGGGGGGGGGGCATGTGCCTCCTGTGCCCCATAGTTCCTATGTCCCTGCATGCAAGGCATTGTGTGTGTGTGAAGTAAAACGAGGTTGGGTCTAGACTGCAGTACAAATAGCAACTCGGCATACTGTTCCAGTACGAATAGCCGGAATAGCCACTTCGTTTTTGAAAAGCTATCCAGTTAATACAGTGTGCATTGTGAATTCACATAATAAATATTTCAGTATTTACTGTAAATGATTTACAGTAAATACTGAAATATTTATTTTAAAAATACAAACTATCAAAGTATAAAAATACCTTTTCCCGCAAAATTCTAAATCTCTCCAACAAATACTCCTCTTCTTCTGTCAAAGGCCCACCAGAGAAGCTGGTCATCTTACCACATTAAGCACGTTTGAATGAAACACAGTAAATTTGTTAATTTTGTTTTAAAAACTCACTCCTTACTGTAGATATATGATGTATAGCATCCATTTTGAATTTTTTTTTATTGTGAATTTCCGCTGACACAATTTGAAAATATACCCGTTGATCTATAAAAATTAACTGAAACACTCAAACACCACCATTTGCGAGGTTGTGATTATTACTGCAACCTGGAAAGCTTCTTCTTCGTGGTGTTTCTACAAACTAAAGTATTAATATGTTTTAACGCCATGCAAACCTACAATAAACCATAGTTAATATATACTGACCAGTATATATTAACTATGAATAAACTTATTACGAATATCTCATGTCAAACATTCGCGAGATTAACCACAGATGCACCTTTCTATCCCAGTATCTATCACGATATACCAATATACCCCTATATCCCAATATACCCCTAGCGGAAGTTCAGAAAATATTAAATATATCATGATTACACTGTAAATATATAGGAGAGATTTTTTTATTTTTTGCTGTTTTGTGCATTTTTTTGTTTCATTTTGAAAAGTCCAGAGTTTTTGATAAGTTGGATAAAACAGGATGATGAACAAGGAATCAAAATTTGAGGTAAATCACAGTAGAATTTATAATCTCTCTAATGTCTCTAATAGAATCCAAGAATTTGATACAATTTATAATTTAATTTTATTATAGTATTTCACCAGTTTTATACAGCTGTACTATATGATTTTGATAGAGGATGTTTGTATTAAAGGCATTGCCACATTATTAGAGGTATATGTCTTGAGCAACAGTGTTCCTAGGGTTAAACACATTTAAAGAGTATTATTATTAACCCTTTTAGTGGCAATGCACCCTGATGCACCCTACTTTAGTACTTTACTCTGTCAAACACCATCGTCCAGTGGAGAGTTTTGCCACTCAATGGGTTAATGCATCCCATGCATCCACTTTTAAAATCATTTAAGTGGCAATGCACCCTGATGATCGATGCACCCTACTTTAGTATTTACTCTGTCAACACCAAACGGTTTTACTAGTCAGATGGAGAGTGCTACCACTCAATGGGTTAATTTTCAGTGAGGCCCTAAAATATGAACAATAAAATTACAATATATATAACTATATAAGTCATAGTAGATTTATATGGAAAAAGTCAGAAAATTTAAAAATTGCTAATTGCAATCTTAAAACTATTAAAAGATAAAGTTCTAATATATTCATGGAGACTGTTCCAATCATCAACACAGTGACAAACGTAACGGCTTTGTCCACAGGTCTTGTAGGAATGTGGTTTAATTACATTATTCTTATTACGAGTGCTATAATTATAAGTGTCAGCAAACAATGATATTTGGATGTTATTTTTAAAATAAAAACCAGCCAGTAACAGCTATATCAATAATGTGAGTACTACCCACCCGAAAAAATTTTATGCTGCCAATATCTAGTGAGTTACCATGATCTAAAGCCCAGGTTACACTTGGCATGTGCCATAAATTTGTTTCTTGCACCGGGTCAACTTTCATTGTGTTGCCGGCGCAAGAGAAGAAGTGCATGTTCTGCCCAGTCTAAGCACAAATATTATTGTAATTTAATACCCTCTGCAATCGTTGACAATTTCACCTTCAGCAACAATTGTGTAAAAAATCACATTACAACTGATTAATATATTTAGTCAGCCAGCCAATGAAAATCGCTTTACTTGACTTTGTGGGCTGGCGAGAAAAGTAAATTTGGAGCAGCAAATCCAGTGGACTAGTAAGACTAGTAAAAGTTATGTCTGCAAGTTTACACACTACTATCGATACAATTGGCAAAATCAGTTAATTCCTAAAACATTACAAATTCACACACCTTTAAATGAATATATTAGGATCTTTATTCATGACAACATAATATTCTTGTTTCTATACCACAACATAATACCACACTTGATAATGATCAAACTTTAAAAGTTAAGAGCGCTAAATTTTGCTAATAAATCATGAATTCAGCCTTGAATTGTAAAACTCTGGCTTTGCACTTGTCTGCATGACCAGACGAGAAAATCATTGCATGTGTTGCCACTTCTGGTTGTGCCTGGTTGAGTGAGAAAAAATTATTCATGTAATTAACCCTTTTAAAGGGATATGGCAATATAATATTAAGTTTGTCTTATATGAAAGAACTTTTAAAATTTATATATAAACTTCCTTTACAATTATTCCGTATCTAATTGCTTGGTTTTCAAAATAAATCGACTTTAATATTTTGGTCAAAAGCAGAGTGTATTCCGCCATCGGGGGTTGACAAAACGTGGACCCCCCCCTTCTGGACCCCCCATTCTGGACCCCTTTCTGGACCCCATTCTGGATACCTTTCTAGACCTTTTAAGAACCAAAAGAAAACATGCAAATTAAGAAAACGTTACATACGCAGCTGTAAGCAGTCCCTCCCCAACCCGCATTTGTTGAAGACATGGCTTATTCGCAATAAATTGGATGCCAATATTTGTTGACATTTTTTGCTGTAAATGCAGCGGGGTAAATTGCCCATTTATATAGCAACCCGACACTAAATTGACAATGTCACAAAAACAACATGGTACAAAACTTCACGTGCAGGATCGTGACAAACAGCAAGAAGTTCTATCATATCTCACCAAAACTGCAAGAACAGAATTGGCTTCCAGTTAAGGAACACTTACTTTTTAGAGATACAGTTTTGATGTACAATTAGCGTATTAACAATCTAGCCCCACCTTACTTGTGGAGGGTCCTGAAGGGGGGGGGGGTCCCAATCCCATTTCCCACCTGAAATTTTGGCAAAATCCCAGTCCCAGTTGGATTTTTATTAGAAATCCCAGTCCCAGTTATTGAAATCCCAGTTAATAAAAATCTCTTTATTTATCGGTAGAATAAACAGTTTTAAGACCTTTTAAGCAAGTGGCGGACACTTTATGAAATAATAGGGGGGTGTTCGTGCCAAAGGCACGGAAAAATTTTAAATTTGAATCTCGGGAATGGCATTTGCAGCATTCTGAGACCAGCATACTCAGAAAACCCTGAATTCCGGGCACCAGAGTATGCCTGTTCGCAGGTACTGTTGTGAATAATATAGTTAACAACAAAAATCATGACCAAAGACACCAAAAACGGATAAAAATTGTATTTTAAAATACTCAAAACGCAGAAAAATTGGGAATTGACTCGCATTACCTCAATCCCACTCCCATTTTTGAGGACTTCATTTCCCATTCCCAGTGGCCAAATCCCAGTCCCAGCAACCCAAATCCCATTTTCCCAGTCTAAAAATAGATCAATCCCAGTTCCCATTTTACCCCTTCAGGGCCCTCCTTGTGCAATAAATTTAGTAAACGATCAAATATACATGAATGTAACACTCGTAACCGAGAGCTCCTCCAAATACCGATTTATAATACCACCACTGGTCAGAGAACATTTCATTATAGAGGGGTGAAACTATGGAATGATCTGGACAATAACACGAAACAAATGCCATCTTTGAGAAGTTTTAAGAATAAATTAAAGAAAGACATGTTAGACAGACTGTATTCTTAGTAATGGACTATTTTAATAATAGAAGATTTTTCCTAGTAAATTTTTATGTATGTAATCTTAACCTTGTTTTTTAATCACCATTCCATGTAAATTAGTGTTGAAAAGCCTCTTTGAGGAACACAATAAAGTATGTATGTATGTATGTGTGTACTGAAAGTGCTTGTCCCTATTCAAAAGAATATGAAACAAGAAAACCAGTGCAGTAAGGTATTTCTAATTGGAATAACTACGTTGCCCAGCAATGTTTAATGTACGAGATTATATAATATGTATCATTCGCAACATCACCATCGGCCAGAGCTGCGAAGTCTCACGGTTTACCCGTGAGTCTCCAGATTTTCGCGGTGACCTCCAGGTCTCACGATGGGTCTTGAAAATCTCACGGAATCCATTAAAATGGTCCTTTATGCATGGATTCTGCATCTATGCTCTTAAAAAATACAATTTGCGAAAATACCGTCTGTTTTTTCGAAAGAAAATCTGTACGTATTTGTAAAATGACACTCTTATTAAAAAAATCCGCAGTAGCGTGGCGCGTGGCTATTCGAGTAAACTTAGATTTTATGATCTTGAAGTATAATGTAACCTAAACGTGAATTGTGTGTGTGCGCGGGCTCATTTTTTCTTACCCAGCCCGGTCAACAATAATATAAAGTCAACAGTTTATACATAATTTGATTAAAATTTTTCAGTATTAAATATTGTCTGCGCTACTCTGTCTGGTTTTTTGATCAGTATGTATTAAATAACATAGATATCACTATTATCACATATATCGCTGATGTCAGTACGAACTACGAACTTAAAGGCCCCAATAACCTCCAGGTTTTTAATCATCTGAACTTGGCAGCTCTGCCATCCCCCGAGCATTTGACTTCAAGGTTTCTCCTGGGAGTAGTGAATTGGACATTTTGAAGCAAGATGAAGTGCCTTTCTATGAAGATGCGATTGCCGCTGACTGAAATGATTAGGACATTGAAAAGGATTAAAGAATTCAGAAAGTCGAAAAAAGCAAAACGAATTTAATCGATCATCGTGATATTGAAATCCAAATAGTAATTGTGTCCTACCATCTGGCCTGTTGGTTTTTAAAAGGTCTGAGAATGGGGTCCAGATTAGGGGTCCAGAAAGGGGGGTCCACGTTTTGTCAACCCCCTCCGCCATCTTGGATATGCATTCGATATGCATACGTCACAAGTAGAGTAAAAAGTGAAATTTTATCTTGCAAACCACGTATCATTATCAATATGAAACTCGATTTTCGGAAGTCTTTTTAATACTCAACACATTTTAGTTAGTCCCACATGAAGAAGTTTTAACAAGTTTACCCTGCTTGGTGACATCATCAAAAATTCAGTAATTAGGTCAATTATAATACCAAGATGGCAAACTGCACACTGTTTTTGGTCAAAATATTTCGAAAACCAAGCAAAGTACGAAAAAGTTCTTTCAAACAAGACAAACTAAGATAATTTTTATTGCCAACTAACTCATACAGCCCTAATCAGTTCTGTGCATTTATTTTGATTTCTTCAATCCGTAGATTCTTGATGATTTACGAGATGGCCTGGTTCGAGATTTGCAACCAGAAAAACACTTCGCCTTTCTCAGAACAAAAAGAGTGTTTGATGAAGATGATTGTGAGGAAATCAATGCCAAGCCAACTCGGCGAAAGAAAGCAGAACTATTTCTCGACATATTGAGAAAGAAAGGGGATAGTGGATTTGATTATTTTTGTGAATCGTTCATTGAGTGTGGAAAGACCCAACTTCATATACTCAACCAAATATTAGATGCATATGAAGAAAAGATATATGATAATGAAGGTATTACAAGTGGACGCATAAAATTAATGTTATTCCAAAAAAGTGTGCATTGAATAAAGGAATACCCTGAGGAATACCGAATGGTTTTCCGTGCAGGATTGCGTGATCCATGCACGCGGAATGTTTTGAGACTTTCGGAAAGCGTAAAAGCCACCAGGCGAGAGCTTTTTTACGCTTTCCGAAAGTCTTGACTTGAAACATTCCGCGTGCATGGATCACGCAATCCTGCACGGAAAAACCATTCGGTAATTGTTTTATAAAATAACCATACAGTGAAACAATGGTCAAGTTAATTCACTCTCTGTAGTTATGTAATTAAACCTTTGGGGTTTTTTTTTGGTGAACTTGCCGCTCGTTTAATATACTGTTATTGTTTATTTCACGCATTGAAATGTTTTCGTTGCTGAACATTTTGAAAACCCCGCGGAAGGCATTTAAATTTTCCGTGCAGGATTGTCTCATCCTGCACGGGTGTTTCACTGTAGTTAATATATATTATATAGTAACTACGGTAAAACATGCAATTGATTGGTCCTGAATAGCCGTGCAGGATCAGGCTATCCTGCACGAGGAATCAAAATGCCTTCGCGAGATTCTAATATGTCATTGTTTCACTGTAGTTATTTTATAAAACAATTACCAAATGGTTTTCCAAGCAGGATAGCATGATCCATGGACTTGGGATGTTGCTCGACTTTGGGAAAGCGTAAAAATATTTTTACGCTTTCCCAAAGTCTCCATTCCATTCGGTATTCATTTAATACACTATACACAATCTATTTAAATTTAAAAATTCATCTTCAGCAGATATTGACAAGATATGGACCACGGATCGTAAACCTCCGAATCGAAGCCTTGATATACTAACGTGTTGAAGAGTAATAAAGTAGACTATTCACTTGGGCCATTCCGAATTTAAGCCCCCAATGTAAGCCCCTCTGTGTATAAGTCGGTGCCATGGGCTTATTATTAGACAGGTAATGATGACGGAGTGACATGGATTCCAAGAGCTTTTTAATAGCCCCAGGCGGTGACGATAATTACATTATTTACAGTATTATACTGTACGCTTTAACCAATATGTGTTATATACTGTATGCTTTCAATCATAGTATAGTTTACAGGTGCAATAACCTATACTTACTGTACTAATTAATACTAAATGTTGTTCGTATATGAGCTCTCCCATGTATAAGACCATCAAAATAAAAAAAATGCTTAGAAACGCAGAAATACAAACCCAGGGCTTATATTCGGAGGTTTATTATAAGTAATAGCATGGCATTCAGGGCGATTAGTGATTAAATGTACCCGAAAGCCGAGAGAGGTTTAGTAAAAGTCCCTCGGCGCTACGCGCCTCGGGACTTTTACTAAACCTCTCGAGGCCTGAGGGACATTTCATCACTAATCGACCGTAATGCCATGCTATTACTTTGTAATATCATAGTTGCCGAGGGAATCGCGCGTGGTGTGTTGCCTGTTTTGAATGCTGTTTGATTGTCTTATGATTGTGGTACGAACACTTTTCATATATACGCACGCGCGAAACACATCTCCGTGTTCATTCGTTTTAGGCATGCGCATAAACGGAATTTTCTCCCACAATTGAAATGTTCAAGATTAGGGAATAAAAGCTGGCAAAGTGATTGTTCGAATGTGTACGGGACGGTGTCGTCAGATACTGTCCATAGTTGTGCCGATGATTTTCGATGAGGTACAGCTCTCCAATCAGAGGTAATGAGGTACGCGTTTGTCTTCTGCCCGTGGTAAAAATTAGTTCTAATTTTACTCCCATGTTTTAGTAATGAGGTAAATTAGTGATTAATCGTACCTCGCGAGACAAAGGATTTCGAGGCAACTATGATATTACAGTATAATAAAGCTAACAGAGAGTTGCAGTTATTGAATTGAGTAGATTACCGCTGAACAGAATAACAACGTTACCAAGTTGAACATTAATTCGCTTTGATTGCTTACCCCATGCAACCTAATTTATGTGAAATGTGTTGAAAAACTTGCAGTTGAACAATTGTCAAGACCACAGCAAGAGTTCGTCAACATGGAAATGTTAAATGAACAGTTACCACGGCCAGGAGAATGTGGGGCACCATGTCTACCAAGTCAGATCACATCATACCTACCACTATTGAATGGTAAATATACTGTTTTACTATACATTGTATTTTCATGATTTGTGGCACAAAAGTGACAAACCGTTAGTTCTCAAACAAGCACTGAATATAAATTCAAATTGTTATCACAAAACAGCACAAAACTATTAGTGATTAGAAAAGCTACCCTGGTTTTTATACATGAATGCAAATCCCAGTTGAATTCACGGCCCAACGTTTTGACACACTTCAGTCTAGTGTCTTCATCAAGGGTAATCTGAAGTCGTAACATGGCTTCTTATATTCCCATGGGAACATCAAAAGGCTGTTTCGACCCTAAATTAGGGAAAATCCGCTCTAGCAGAACATGCATGTGTGACACCAAACACATGGCGGGGACTGAAGAGTAGAAACGTTGGGTAAACAAAATTTTGAGTGAGTAAAAGGTTGGGTAAATGAAAAAAACCTGACTCGATGGTTGGGTGATAAAAATTGTTTTGTCATTTCCAAAACATGGCTCAATCAAATATTGAAGACTAAAAAGCAGTGTCCACAGTCATGTCAATACAATATGTAAGTCAATGAGAGACACTATCTTGATCATTTTCCAATTTGTCAGCAGGCAAATGCTGTCTCCAAATAAAGTACATGTGCATACAACATGAAACATTAATTAGGCGAGACTTTTTTTATTCGTTGGTTTACGGATCCGCCGACCGTAAATATTCAGAAAGTGAAAAATAAAAAAAAAATTTTGATGTCAACAATTTTAGTTAATTTTAGTCAATTTGGGGTTCTGGCATGAAGTATACGCCAAGTAAACTTTGACTTTAAGTACTGTTCGTCCACTCGTATTTAAACCGTATCAGTGAGCTGCATATTTGATGTCAGATTTCGTTTTTACAACATGACGTACGAGGCCATCCCACCCGAAATTGGCGCGAAAACCACCTAAATTATAATGACGTAAAAAAAGTGGGAACTGATATCGATCAGGATTGTTTAGAGAATCTCGGGCTATTTTGGGAGCTTACTTGGGATTTTTACAAATTGACAACGCTGGTTGTGATAATAAATGTGGAGATTAGGCATGTTTTTCCAAGTAGAAGTTAAATGTTTAGAAGATAAAAACATCGATTTTAAATATACTCAGTGTGTTTTGTTTTTAAGTTTTTTTCCGACCTACCGACCTGTTTTTTTTTTAAGTCAAATCCGTAAACCAATAAATAAAAAAAGTCTCGCCTTACACTGCAGAAAATTGCACAAGCAGTTATCACACTCATGTCACAGAAGTGGTAAAGGACATGCATGTGTGAAAATTGAAAGGTATCCTTTTGTATAGTGTTTGGTGGATATTTATTTTTTAATTGACATTTGAAGTTGGCTAAAATTTTTTGACTCTCTAATGGTTGGATCAGCCAAGGTTTTGCCCAAAAAAACATTTCTCTTCGGTGCCACCCTTCGCCATAAATAATGACCAGTTCCTTAAAAATTCTTAATTCTTTCATATAGGAGCACCGAGACAGATGAATGGAGATATGATAACAAGCTATGAAACCCCGCCTCCTCCATATTCAACTTACTGATTCACTATAGTCAGCTATTTTTTATACACCACGTGTCAAGGATTTCTATAGTATCTTATTGGTTGAAAGTTTATGACGTAAAGTCGGTAAACACTCAAATTTTGCGACGTTTCCAAACAGGGGCAACATCTGAGGGAGCTCACGCATGAGGCGAATTTTCAATTGCAAATGTGTTTTGAAAGAGGGAATATTTGACCAAATTAGACGTGTCGAGAAATTAACAACTTCAAGTCTGAATGTAGCACATGCACTCCAGATGATCTTGATACGCGGAAAAGTACTGGCACTAGTTGTCAAATAGAAATCCATTTTGTGATTAAAATAACTGAACATCTCCTGTGATATACTTTATTTCGATTCCATATTTTTGTCAGAGCTATAGTTCTCATAACCAAACATAATTACAAAATTTCAACTAGTTTCATAAAGAATAACGAAAGATATAATTGACTGAAGACATCAAAATGGATTTCTATTCGGACAACCCTTTCTGAGCGCTGATTGGCTAAAATACGAACACGAGATCACCTGGCTATAAGGACAAATGACTGGCAAAATGCCCATGGAAGGCAGTAGAAGGTGCAGGCATCATTAAAATGCGCGCGCGTGCGAGCGCCGCTCGCAGACACCTTTTGAATTTTTGCAGGCACATTTTAAAATACTGACATTTTAAGAATATTTAGGTCACAAAATCTAAATAAGATGTGTTTTTGCAGGCACATTTTGAATTTCGCTCGCAGGCACGAAAAAATGTTAATGAGGCCTGAGAAGGTATATGACCACCCAAAAGCACATGTTGTAACAGCCACTCCCTACTGTATACAGTATATCATGACTATTTGTGTTATGGCCACACGACATGCATAATTTGATAAATAAAATCAATCTACTGACGGAGCCCATGATGCTAGGGGCCCAAAGCGAGTTCTCGTTGTCTCGTCCCTGGCCGTGCTGGTCCCTGTTTACAAAAAGTCACAAATTTGAGTGTTTACCGGTTTTCAAATTCCATCAACTGTTGTGGAAGCAAAACAGCAACAGGTTTATACACTTGAATAATGTTGAACCGAACATTTTATTTATTTACAAGATTCGACCTACAGTAATACTTTGCATCGTGTATAGTTCACATATATAAAATAAAACAAATTCTGAAGAGACGCATCTTGAAATTCGAATATATAAATTAAAACGAAGACAAAAAGGTATTTAACAACTATTCACCGGAAATTCTCCATTTTTTAAAAAACTGTATCGAGCCACCTTCCATATCTTGCATTGCAGAACTTATCTATGAACCTTCTAGAACTCTTAGATCTTCCAAGGCTAATCCACTCAACGAACCAGATTTAATGTAAATAGCTATTTGGTGGTAGAGCTCTTTGTGCTTGTAGTACCTAGGTCTATTAGGGCACGCACCGATCTATCAGACTTTAAGAGCAAACAACTTAATTAAGGCACATTAGTTTAAAATAATAGCCTATAATGTGGATATCTGTTGTAAATGTTGTATGGTCAAATTATTACTTTTATGATTATCTTTCCGGAATTTGTTTTATTCTAAATTGTCTACTGGAAATAGATATTAAAACAGTTCACGTCTTTTCTGTTCGATACTTGGCACGAAAGTAAACCACTAATTCATCTCAGGAAAGTAGTATGTTTTGCTCTCTAAAAACACTATGGTTAAAATTTCTCTGGTTATTAACCTAGAGAAAAACCCCTGTTTGGGTCAACTTTAACCAGGGTGTTTTCAGAGCCGCATAATTGTAGGTACAGAGGCAAAAGAGGTTTATACAGGCTGCTGTGGTTCCTTGATAGTTCTCCTTGTATGTTCAGTAATGCAGTGACAGATGACTGGATATATCCTTGCACACCCCTCAATACATCTTTGTACTGCCTACAATGAAGTATGATCCACTGTCACTTATTTGTTCACCATAAACGGGGTGCAGTTGGATTTTTTTTTCACCCCCTCCCCCCGAAATTAAATGCTCGTTGGATTAAATAACAGTAGTGTGATTGAAATAAAGGATTTTGAACTAAATAAGACCAGAAATGTCGAAATTCTCTCGGGGCGTCGCCACCTTGTTGTTCAAGTGAGGACAGGGTTGTGGGGGCAAATCGTACCCTACGACCCCCGCTGCAGCTTGGTCGGCGTCGCTACG